CTTCTCTTCTTCTCTTCTTCATTCTTCTTCTTCTCTTCTTCTTCTTCTTCTTCTTCTTTCTTCTTCTTCTTCTTCTTCTTCTTCTTCTTCCTTCTTCTTCTTCTTTCCTTCTTCTTCTCTTCTTCTTCTTCTTCTTCTTCTTCTTCTTCTTCTTCTTCCCTTCTTCTTCTTCTATCTTCTTCTTCTTCTTCTTTCTTCTCTTCTTCTTCTTCTTCTTCTTCTTCTTCTTCTTCTTCTCTTTCTCTTCTCTTCTTCTTCTTCTTCTTCTTCTTCTTCTTCTTCTTCTTCTTTACTTCTTCTTCTTCTTCTTCTTCTTCTTCTTCTTCTCTTCTTCTTCTTCTTCTTCTTCTTCTTCCTTCTTCTTCTTCTTCCTTCTTCTCTTCTTCTTCTTCTCTTCTTCTTCTTCTTCTTCTTCTTCTTCTTCTTCTTCTTCTTCTTCTTCTTCTTCTCTTCTCTTCTTCCTTCTTCTTCTTCTTCTTCTTCTTCTTCTTCCTTTCTTCTTCTTCTTCTTCTTCTTCTCTTTCTTCTCTTTCTTCTTCTTCGTCTTCTTCTTCTTCTTCTTCTTCTCTTCTTCTCTTCTTCTTCTTCGTCTTCTTCTTCCTTCTTCTTCTTCTTCTTCTCTTTCTTCTTCTTCTTCTTCTTCTTCTTCTTCTTCTTCTTCTGTCTTCTTCTTCTTCTTCTTCTTCTTCTTGCTTCTTCTTCTTCTTCTTCTTCTTCTTCTTCTCTTCTCCTTCTTCTTTCTCCTTCTTCTACTTTTCTTCTTCTTCTTCTTCTCCCCCTTCTTCTTCTTCGTCCTCCTCATCTTCTTCTTTTTTTTTATTCTTCTCTATTTACCTCTTCAGGTGTCAGTGGAGAGATAAAAGTATCTGCTTCTTGCTCGTCTCGTCGTCTCGAACCCAGACACGTCGTGCTGTTGTCTAGTTTCTTAGATGGTATTTTTCTATTTACGTTTTTTTTTTTTTTTTACACATTCCTCGCATCTCAAGTATGTGCCTTGTGTGAGATTGTTTTCTCCATGAGAGCAGAGTGCGCTAACCATTCGGCTAGCTGCTTACAAACACCCCCCCCCCCCCTCCCCCCCCCACTCACCCCCCTCAAAACGGTTTAATTCGAGTACAAACACTTCAGTCATAAAACATTACTCAGAAAAACTGTGTCAAACATGTATTTATTTACAATGTACACTTTAAACATCATCCCTTTTACGGATTTACAGATGTAAGTATGTATGTACGCCTTCAGGTACATTTGGCATTTTGGGCTAGACCTATAACTGTAAAGAGCTAGACCGATTTTTGTAAAGGGATAGACCGATTTTTGTAAAGAGCTAGACCGATAATTGTAAAGAGATAAACCGATAATTGTATAGGGATAGACCGATATTTGTAAAGAGATAGACCGATTTTTGTAAAGGGATATACCGATATTTGTAAAGGGATATAACGATATTTGTAAAGAGCTAGACCGATAATTGTAAAGGAATAGACCGATATTTGTAAAGGGATAGACCGATATTTGTAAAGAGATAGACCGATATTTGTAAAGATTTAGATCGATAATTGTAAAGATATAGACCGATAATTGTAAAGAGATAGACCGATAATTGTAAAGGGATAGACCGATATTTGTGAAGAAACAAAAGGGAGCAATGATGTGGTCAGTATCACGCTAGCCGTCTTTACTTCCCAGGAATTTACCTGTTGCCCATTTAAGGTAGGGCCAACCTGGGAGCTAAGGTTAATATTTTTTAAACAAATTTGCGGCTCCGTTAGGACATGAACCAACGACCTTAAGATCTATAGGCGAGCGTCTTGCCGCTTACATGGCGGCTCTCTTTACAGATGTAACTTGTTCATTATTAATACTTTGCGGAATTAGCTATTGGTTATTTCCAAGTGATGTCACATTTAAAAAACCTAAAAATTATGACTAACACATATCAACACCGCGAGGTAAGGAATCGACTAACTCGTGTCGTCTGCGATCAGGACTCTTCGCCTTTTCAGAGTAATTTCCATCGCCACCGTTATGGAGGGCCTGAAGCACTTTAGCACTGTGTTCTTGAGCTTTGGCTCTCAGGGCTGCGATGCTTTCTGATTTCCGTTCTTCCTTGACTCGGCCTTTCCCCTCTGTTCCTGTGTCGCTTCCAGAGAGATCTTCCTCTTCCTCGCTCATCTTCTTAGAAGCTTCTAGGGACTTCTTGTGCATTCCTGTTGTGAAAATGATAATACAAAGAATAAGTTAATACGAGACATATTCACACTTATCAGAAAGAGGGAAACATGTCGTAATGCCATGCTTGCTAATTATAAAGTAAAATCTATATTTTGTCCGAGACCTAGGCCGAGTTTCCTTCCATCTAACAGGTTGTAAGATCAACTGGTCGTAAGTCGAATTTATATTGTTCGACACTCTTTCTTATTCAGACTGATGTTCTGGACACTCTACCGAAGACAGTATTAGGTTTGAAACCAATTAATGTAAAATGCGGGGAAGCTGTGATAACCCATGACCTTCAAGACTTCATGCCGGACAACCTGTATTAAACATACTATGCACGTCTCATGACTGTATGCAACAATCATCAATCGACTGGGAGATGTTGTAGAAATCGTTACGACCGTGTGAACTTCACACAATATTTCCAGTAATTGTTGTCAATTATATTTGTCAGATATTTTTCGGGAAGGAGGGAGGGGGGGGGGGGCGAAGGGAGGATGGGAACATCTCAATAGCGGATTCAAATGTATGACCTTGAGACAGTAGGTACTTCTCTATCGTCGTTCGTTCATTGGTTGACGAAAACAAATAGGTCTTCTGTGACCCTCGCCTTGCTGTGCCGTGGTTTTAATTTAGAACAATCATCCCCAACCTTTTTTACACTTGCGGTCTACAGAAATAAGCACAAATATTTCGCGGCTCACTAGACATCTAACCAAACACGAAAAGAAAAAAAAAAAGTAGACAGTAGTCTATTTTTTAAATCTGATGTAACAATTTTTTTTTTTTTTTTAAATCTGATGTTACAGTTTCAGCTATCAAGACATGTGCCGCTGTTGCTTGGAGATTGAAATGTTTGATAAAAGTGGCTGGAGCGTTGTTTTCGATGGACGAAGCGCTGCGGTAACATTCATTCGATTTCAATGGGGGGTTTTTTTTTTCTTAAATAATTGATGTGCTTTCCAAAATCTATTCACACAAGTAGGGAGTCCTTCAAGTGGTATTCCTACAGACTTAATTCAAACTACGTACCTTACTTTGTCACCTGATTAGCAAAACTTTTTTAGGCTTATTTGGTTTATACACGCATTTTTATTGTTGCTTAAACGTTTATGGCTTAGGCGTTGCGAACGCGCTTCGAAATGCTGATGTTCCGGGTTCGATCCCTGCTACTGTGATTTGTCTTGCGTTGGTTTCGACAGTGGTACCAAGAGCTGACTGTTCAGTAAACAATGACAATCTGCTGAACGTAAAATTTGACTAGAAAAACCACAACAGACAACAAATGCTGGGGTGGGTTCTGCTACGTCATGTAAAGGATACACAGCTAACTTTAACTGTTTGTAGGTTTTGGTAACTTGAGTTCGCTGTACTTTTTTACTTTCTGTCATTGCCCTGCCTTCGTTGATTGTCTTCGTTGTCTTGTGCAAGCCCTGATGAGGACAGCTCGTCTTCTGCTACATCCTTCTGTTGTTGGCTTGGCGGTAACTTTTTATTCATTTTTCTTTATCAAGCCAAAATGATGCCGAAGTTTGTATATACCAAACACTTATATAAAAAAACAAAAAAACTCTAATTAATACTAGCGCCCGGGTCACCCATTGGCTCGCCAGTAGACGACTTCATCGCCAGTCGGGACAGTAGTTGGGTCTGTCTCCCTCGATCGCATCAACACTGCAAGATTCCTTTTCAGGGATCTTGGTGGCGTGCAATGCTAAGCGATTTTATGTGCCACACATAACCTTGTCACAATTATAACCTGAAGTTTCTGATGATGGTTGAAAGTAACGATTTTTTCTATATCAAAGCACCTACCAAAACCTATAATAGTCTCTAAAAGTGTAGTCCAAGTCCAAGTCCTTTTGAGAACAAAAAATGAGAAGCTGGACCACGTTCAGACTGCTGCTAGCTAGCCGAGGCTGCTAGCAGTCTCCGCCTATATTTGTGGTCTGGGTTATTTGCATCACTTTTGTGACTGAATTCTAGTGTTTGTGCCATTTCTGGGCATGATGCTTCCATCCGAATCAGACCGCTCGTCCTCCACCCTGTTGTTACTTGTGCATGTCTTTCCTCGTCTTACTTAGTGTTTCCAGTTTGTGTTGTTTCCCTTTGATTTGGCCAGGCGTATTTCGTATGGGGGCGCACTTTTCCATACAACGTTCTTTGGACCACCATTTACAGTTTTAAAATTTTGAGTATTTTATTTGCCAAAAATCTAAAAGTGTACACATTACACAGTACTTATATTAAAAGTAAAAGTAGGTAGATGACTTTTTTCCAGGCGTTTCATGCGTATTGAGGCTAGACATGTATTTATAGACTAAACGGCACTTCTGAGTGATGTGGTCAGCTTCAAACCGTCCGCCTTAACTTCCCAAGTCTGTACCTGGTACACACTCAAAGCTGGGTGGACGTAGGAGCCAATGTCATTATTGAAATAAATTCTGCTCTTGTCGGGAACCAAACCGGGAACCTTCTGATCTGCAGACGTCCGTCTTGCCGCTAGACCACTTATAATCAGTACTTATAATCGGTTTGGCTTTATCTGCCCAGCCCATATTACAATTTTTAAAACATTTATTAGAACATGTCTAATGATAAACTTCAAATCAACCGTTGTTACACATTTAATAAGTAATCATAAACAGATCTTCTGTAATATTATAAACGACGTACTTATAGCAACAAGCTGGAATATACCACTTCACGTGAGCAAACTGTGCTAAGAAAACACGCTAATGTCACAGAACAAGCAAAACAGCCGTCTAAGCTCAAATTACCTAGCAACCAGGGCGCAGAAGAGTTCTCTATTCCTTTCTCGGCACTTTTCACAATGGCTTCCGGAAGCGGAAGCGCGTGTCTGACCATTGCTCCGTACAAGCCATACTCCGCCATGATTGAACTTTTGCCCCAGGTTTTTTCTGTCTTTCGCCATTTTGCTCTTCTGTTCTGAAACCAAACCTGAAAAACAATTAAATGTCCATTAGTACAAAAATCTGGAATGTGGAATTTTGCATGGGAAGGTATTGACATTACACGATAAAGAAGACTGTGGAAAGATATGGCCAACGCCACACAGCTTGCATTATCATATGCAGTCTTCTTGTACTCAGTCTTCTGTATTAACCCTGGGAAGGATGGTTAGCACATTGCTGTGTGGTTTTCAGTCAGGTTGCGATATGGACTAAAAAAATCCGATTACATCGACACATTATTCGCCTTTTACGGCATGCATACTGAGCGGCAATGGATTTATTCCCCTCAACCCCTTCACCCACTTTCTCATGTAAATGCACTTGTCTGAAATTAAGAGAAATGGCAGAAGGGTTGTGAAAGTTAAAGATTAAGGGGGAGAAAATCGACCTCACTGTGCCTTAACCTATATGGCCTCGGTCTCATTCCACAGAACTGCTAGCCACATGACGATATCACCACTCAAAACACGAACTCCGTGGCTTCGGTGACGATATCCAGTGATTTCCATAAATTGCCCCCGTGAACCAAACGACGCCGCTTATATGAACAGAAGAGGTCAAATTAAAACAAAAAATATGGAGCGAAAATCCTAGGCAAAAGAGACATAGCGAAGCACGGCATCAAATTACCAGTTTAAATACTAAAGTAAAAAAGCTTATATAAGATAACAGTATACGAAAAATCAACTTATAGGCAGCTTGCAATTTTTGAGAAAATGGAGAAAATTATAAAGTCCTGTTCGTCGATATCTAACCTGAATTGGGAATAATGGAAGGAAAGAGGGAACAAAAATGACCGATGATGCCCTTATAAGACACTCGCACTAATGCTCACACACGCAAATACACACACTTGTTTAATAGCCAGTCGTTGGAGAATACTATACAATAATGCATTGTCCTTCCCCGTGTGGGTTACGGACCCCTTTGATGGGGTAGGGTGGAGGGGAATAGGTTCACTCCCCTTAGTATCATGTCGTAGAAGGCTGCTAATTAGAATTATTTCCTTCTAAGTCGGAGTCTATCGGCACACACATTAGCCACATCTGTAAAACAGTTTTGCATACACAACTTAATTTCTAGAACAAGATCAAAGTACAGAAGTAGACGAACCACAAAAACCTTCTGCCAAAGTTTACTATCTGTTAAAGAAAACAGAAAAAAAGAAGAAGAAGGAGGTTCAATGCTCATAAAATGTATTTTTTTTTTTTTAGTTTATATTTACATATTGACATCCACACATATTGATAATTCATAGTAAAGGAATTCACAGGGGCATAGGAATAAAGGAAGGCCATAAAATACAAGGAGAAGAAAGTTGGAGAATAAAGCTAGAAAGGTTGGGGAGGACATGGGGAGAGCTTCATGAAATAGCGAAGGATAGAACGACTTGGAAAGAGTTGGTTGAGGGCCTATGCTCCATAGGGGGATAGAAAGGAAGAAGAAGAAAGAAGTAAAGGAAAAGGAACATGGCGCGAAAGTAAGAATTCAACACAATAAGCAACCATGCATACCGACTAACTTAACTACAAAAACAAACTTACACTACAGTGACCTAATCAAAAGAACAATCAGCGAATTTTCAAAACCTCTATTGTGATTTCGGTAATAAAAATGGGCAACAAAGTTGAACATAATGAAATCTACTACTAGCAGATATGACTGCATTGAAATAATGGCAACGTTCGACAACTGGGCTTGTCCTCTTCTGCTGAACTCACGTCACACCCAATCGCCATTATTGAAACATCGGAAGCGGTAATCGATTCGTGAAACGAGCTATACATATCCAATTAGTATCGCTAGCCCTGTGATTCGAAATTGAAATCGCTCGAGCGACCAAAGACATTACAGCGAAATTTGATTAGGAGGTCCCTGTCTGTCATATTTCATTTGCTTCCTCCAAAATGAGTTTAGATTTATCGGCAGGTGACCAATCATTTTGCGGATAATGGAGGTCGTGGGTCAAGCACTGACTGTCTACCGCACCAATTTCGAGAGGATATCTATGCTGATTGGTCAAAGTTGGAGACAGGAAGTGAAAGGGAAACTGCCAATTTTCGCCAGCCACTTCCGGTTGGATAAATGCTACGGAACAAATATTGGCTAGGAATATAAATTTGTGGTTTTTGTTTTTTTATCTTCATGGCGAGCTTGTGTAATCATGTCTCATTGATGATCCATACGTTTTTGATAGTGGTAGTTAGCCAAAATCTGTAGCGCCTCAGATCTTTTAAAGTTGTTACACTTCGTTTAAAATTATGGACGATTAAATATATAATTGTGTGATGTTTTTTTTTAAAAATTACATTTTACTTGTTTTTCATAATAAATTGGGCGCTCAAATATATTGTGTATAAAATAAGCTGCATGATAAAAATCAATTCCATCTCGACTGTTTATCTTTTCCACCCTTGCCAACGTCAGCCGCGTAGTGTTATGGCTAGACGTTCACCACAATAATATTATTAATAATTTTTTTTTAAAGATTTTAAATACATTTTCTCGTCATCATATTAATGTGTCCCGGTCGCTATCGTCTTTGTTTGTATTATTTACCTCTGGTATACACAGTCGCAGGAGCCTAGTGTCTGAACGCTTACTTGCAGGTGGCATGAGAGTACTGAGTTTGAAACCGCTTCGAAGGGGATCTCTCGGTAACTTTGGTTCTCCCATTTCGTCTGCTCATATGCGTTCTGGTGCCCCGTTTTTAGGGGGTCGAGAAACCGACCCGATGCCCCTATGACACGTACATCCTACAAATAGGGTGTCCTTCGAAGTCTGAGTTCATCTAACGGAGAGGAAATAATCAGTAAAACTGACGTGCATGCAAAACTCAAGTTCTGGAACAAAAGTAATTTCCAAAAGTTGTCAAATAGCCAGAAATTTCCTCCGACGTTTACAACTGGTGAACACAAAGAAGAAGAAGAAGAAGAAGAAGAAGAAGAAGAAGAAGAAGAAGAAGAAGAAGAAGAAGAAGAAAGAAGAAGAAGAAGAAGAAGAAAAGAAGAAGAAGAAGAAGAAGAAGACGAAAGAAGAGAAGAAGAAGAGACGAGAAGAAAAGAAGAAAAGAAAAGATAAGAAAAAATAATAATTAATAATAATAAGAAAAGAAGAAGTAGAAAAGAAGAAGAAGAAAAAGAAGAAAAGAAGAAGAAGAAGAAGAAGAAAAAAGAGAAAGAAGAAGAAGAAAGAATAAAGAAGAAAAAAAAAGAAGAAAAAAAGAAGAAGAAGAATAAAAGAATAAAACGAAGAAGAGAAAGAAAGACGAAGAAAGAAAGAAAGACGAAAGAAAGAAAGAAAAAAATAAATAAGATAAAGAGAAGAAAGAAGAAAGAAAGAAAGAAAGAAAGAAAGAAAGAAAGAAAGAAAGAAAGAAAGAAAGAAAGAAACTAAAAAAAGAAAGAAAGAAGAAAGAAAGAAAGATAAAATAAAAAAAGAAGAAAGAGAGAATAAAAGAAATAAAAGAAAAGAAAGAAGAAAGAAAAAGAAAAAAAGAATAGAATAAAGAGAAGAAGAAGAAAAACCTCTAGAAGAAGAAGAAGAAGAAGGGAAGAAGAAAAGAAGAAAAGAAGAAGAAGAACTAAGAAGAAGATCCTCCTCCTAAAAGACAGACTTAAAGAACAAAACAACAAAACAACAACAAGAAATAAGAGCATCATCAGGAAACAAGCCCAAACTTCAAACGATCCCTTCAACAGACAGAACTTTAACAACCACACCTTCAACCGCTCCTCTCAGAAACTGCACTCCCTGTTATTTTAACACCGGGCATAGACTGTTGGAAAGGTTTAGATGAGCACCTTTTTCAATATTCCCTTCTTACACCGCTTCCGCTAAGCCAGGGGTAAATCTTATATTTTCACAAACATAATTAGCGGCATTCGCGATTCAGTAAACTTGATCTACCCTTTCTCTGGCATGTGAACACCTCAAGTACGGGGAACGACTGCCTGAATTTGAGAATAAACGCTACCAGCTAACGAAAATTCAAAGTTTTTTGTTTTGTTTTGTTTTGACATTCGTATTTATACAGTGTTAAGAATAGCCCTTATTTTGAGGCGTGATTTTATACACTGAAATACACATGTGAAATGTAAGGAAAAAACGTACAGAAATAAACAAACACTCAAGAACAATTGAGGGACAAATAGGTATAGTAATCGACGACTGTAAAAGAGTAAAATGAAAGGAAGAAAGGAAGGTGTGAAGCTGTAAACCAGAGATGTGGGGGTGAGATATGGCTGTATAATCCTTGACACAGGCGTGTTGGTAGCTTCATATCCTTGCCAGAAGGATCGGGCAAAGTTCTTAATCCATGCCAGCAAAGTGTCAAGGCGAATATTATTCTGTATTCTGAAGCCTCTTTTGGTTCTCACTCGCAGTCTGAGGTTTGCATGTGCTTACACAGTGTTTTCTTCCACGGCTTCTTTGTGTTTTGTGTTTTGAGGCTGATATTCAAGTAATATTTCCTCTTCTTCTTCTTCTTCTTCTTCTTCTTCTTCTTCTTCTTCTTCTTCTTATTATTATTATTATTATTATTATTATTATCATTATTATTATTATTATTATTATTCTTATTCTTATTATTATTATTTTTTTTCTTCTTCTTCTTCTTCTTCTTCTTCTTCTTCTTCTTCTTCTTCTTCTTCTTTTCTTCTTCTTCTTCTTCTTCTTCTTCTTCTTCTTCTCTTGTCTTTTTCTTCTTCTTCTTCTTCTTCTTCTTCTTCTTCTTCTTCTTCTTCTTCTTCTTTTTTCTTCGTCTTCGTCTTCTTCTTCTTCTTTCTTCTTCTTCTTTCTTCTTCTTCTTCTTTTTCTTCTTCCTTCTTTCTTCTTCTTCTTCTTCTTCTTCTTCTTCTTTCTCTCTTCTTCTTCTTTCTTCTTCTTCTTCTTCTTCTTCTTCTTCTTCTTCTTCTTCTTCTTCTTGTTTTTCTTTTCATTGTTCTTGTTCATGTTCTTCTGTTCGTTCTTGTTTATCTTCTTGTT